TGCCAGATCTTCCTCTATTTGTAGAGAGAGCTAGGCTATGTCAGCAGCCAATCAGAAGGCAGGTCACCAACTGCCACCAGGTCACCAACCGCCAGTCCCCAGCTCCAGAGATGCCTTAAAGGGACCTCAACTTACAGCGACACAGTCCATAGGCTAGGCGTCCCACAGGTAGTGTAGCCTGTAAACTGAGGCACAAGACAAGCAAGGCAGCCGCACACTGGTCCGATGATCAAAGAGCGAGAGACAAGAAAGGCGAGACTCACCAAGCCATTTATCTCTCCGCCCTTCAGTTAATCCCACTTGTGTTTATCGGCCAGGCTGGCACAATAAACTATCTCAATAGCAGAAGAGAATAAGAGCATCGTCTTTTGACTCCAAATCCTATACTTTTTTTCTACTTTTGTACTGTCTTTTCGAGGTAATACCTCCAGTTCGGCCTAGTAAGTAACTTCTCTATGTATCATAATGGAACTTCTATTTAAAACACAATCTGTTTTCCTATACATTACCATGATTTTACCCTGGAAAGCCCGCCCATCAGTTTCCATGGCCATGATACTTGGTATTTAGGGTCTTATTTCCTTTGAAAAACGCAGATGTGTCTATTTGGTTTTAATGACAATAACCGTAAGGTTATTTTCTTATTATTGAACACTGGTTTCCATAAGAGATCATTGTGGTGGTGTTAGATGCTGGCAAGTTTATTCCCGCCCATAGCAACCCTGTGTGCAACAGCATGAAACGCCGTCTCAAGTCCTAGGCCAGCTTCACAGGTGTCTTTTGTTTGAACCCATTGTTGCCACCACGGTGTCAGTCCATTTCATGAAGGGTGTCCCCTTTTCCTTGCCCGCTTGACTTGCCCGAGCATGATGTCCTTCTCCAGGGAAACAGATGTAGTGGCTGTGGATTTGCTGGCTCCTAATCCAGTGAAAATCGAGACCAGTACAATGTGTGCTGGGTAAGGGACGCTTTTGGTGTTAGGGATCTAAGGGAAGGCAACAGAATAGAATAGAGTATTTTATTTTTCCTGGTCTGGATATTTTCTATTACTGAACCTCTCTCATGCCCATAAATTCCATTGATCACTTTAAACGTCCCCCTCTTTCCCTGCTGATTCCTGATATCAAGTTTATACAGCGATTGGCTGTGAAAAAAGACCTCTTCATGAGAAGGTGTCTGTCTCATGGTGTCTGTTGTGTTTTCTCCTTGACTCCCAGGACGCTTACCGTTCTCTATCAGAGTTCTCCTGGAGGCAGCTGTTCGGAACTGTGATGAGTTTTTGGTCAAGAAAAATGACATTGAAAATATCCTAAACTGGAATGTCATGCAGCATAAGAACATCGAAGTGCCATTTAAACCTGCCCGTGTCATCCTGCAGGACTTTACGTGAGCCTCATCTCCCTTCACTTTCTCCTGGTCTGTCTCCCTCAGCTGAATA